TCAGATACAGTCATTAAGTGTCTGCTGTGGATGCATTGTTGGATGTGTTTCACTGTTTGGTTGCAGGAGGGCACAAAGGTGCCGAGTGTGTAATTGATGGAGACAGATAGCAGTCAGATAAAATTAGTTCCAGTTTGGTAAGCAGTCCATTGCTGGCATGGCTGAGAGAAGAAATCAGAGAGGTGCAAAGACAGCAGTGAGATCCTCGGTATAGATGTTCTGGTCAAAGAGCAGGGATAAAGTAAAGAGGGGGAGAAAAAAAATCCCTCTTACAGATGTCTCGTGCTTTGTTTTTTTTTTTTTCTCATACTTAAATGTTTCAAATCACCAAACAAAGTATAAGCAAAATAGTGTTTCTAATTATGATTTTGTTGATTAAAGGAAAAACACATAACCAAACCAAACTAGATTTATGTGAAAAACTTTTCAGCTCAGTTGTGCCTCTCTTACATGGAATAGGAGGAATCCAATATTTACAATACCCGGAGAGTCTATTATTTGTCGAATAACTGGAACCCGTCATGTAAGAATGTTTCAGTCAGATGAAGGTGTAGACTTTGAGTAGGTCACTCCAAAACATCTATTTTGATTCTACTGAAACATTTAGAGGTGAATTTACTGGTCCTGCTGCATGATCAAAATATGACTGATTTCAAGGTCAGGCATTCTCCGTTAAGACTTTATGCTAAATAACAAAAAAAGATGGCTTCATCATTTCTGGAGAATAATCCAAAGCAGTCCCAGATGATCACACCACCAGCACGTTTTATTTATTTATTTATTTTTACTTATTTCTTCATTTTCAGTTTTGCCTAAATGCTGTTTTAGTTTTACTCCAAATGTGATTGCAACTTCCAAAGTAAATAAAATAAATTAATCTGTCACCTGGTCCACTAAATATTTTCCCCAAATTCTTCTTCTTTTTTTGCCAAATTTCAGATGGTGTTTTGTATTCCTCTTGGCCAACAATTAGTTTTTCTCCCATCGGTGGAGGCCAGTGAGGTCTGGGTGCTTCAGACGTTTGGTCAGCTTGACACTCCTGTAACGGTTCATCCCTGTTCCATCATTTCTCTATTTTTGGGATCAATCCTCTCATTGTGGCTTGCTGTAAAGACTTAGAGAAGGCTTCCTAACCCTCCAGATTGATCAATTTTACTGACTTTTTTCATCAGTAACTTTTTTTATTCTCTAGACTGTGGCATATTGCAGTCAGAAAGTCATCAGACTTTTGTGCCTATCTACTCAGTGAGAACTTATATTTCCAAGAACATATGCAGCCTATTTGGCTTGGACACTTTTCTCCCCATAATAAATCAAACCACTGTTTCAAAACTGCCTCTTATTTTCACGCATTATTGAGATATTGAACTTTATATCCAACAAATGAAACGTTAGTTTCTACACTTAAAATGTATACTTTTCCATTTGATAATCATTGTATTAAATGTCACTTCTCATTGTAAAATAAGCTGTAGATTATTTAACATGCACAGGTAAAGACGACAGGCGCTGTACGTCCTCCATGCCTCCAAATGTGGCAAACAAAAGCCTCCCATCTCTTAATCTTTCTACAAACAGGGCTGTCAGGTACATATTTACATATGGAATGAATAAGCGATGCGACGCACTGCATGCTCACAATGTATTAGAAAAAAAATCCATATAGATACGTATAATGAAAAAATCTGTATAAATTACTGGAAAATTGTAAAGCTTTCTTACAAGAGCTAGCTTTCCAGCTTTATGTTTTTTTGGCTTTAATATAACATTAGCTGACATTGTCGAGATGCAGTTAAACATATCCACATGAAGATTGCTTTAGGGCATTACTAAGTTCCCCTCACTTACCACCGAAATGTCTGAAACTTAAATATTCTCAGAGGGTCATTATAATTCCTCTGGTGAGGACAGAGCGACTGCAGACAAGCTGGTGCCCAAACATCTGACAAAATGTTTTTGCTGCAGGAACATGATCAAAATACTAATCAAACATCATTTACAACTGGCTTTATTCGAGGCTCCTGAGAGGCTGTCCCATCCTGCTTCTTTGCCATGGTAACCAGAGATTCATTTCAAAGGTGTCATGCTGCATTATCATCTCACCGGCTCATCCACCACCCTCCGCCCTCTGGCTCGCATGCTTTTGTCCCCTCTCTGTTCAGACCCCTCAATCTCAAACCTGCCCGGCATCCTGAAAGGGAAACATCGCCTATCTTGCTCGAGCTCAGATAAGACACCGATTTGATTTCTCTGCCTCGGCACACATGCAGCATGCAGAGTAGGAGACACACAGCTACACACACACACACACACACACACACACACACACCCACACACACACACACACACACACACACCACACCACACACACACACACACACACACACACACACACACACACACACACACACACACACGTACACATCCCCAGCCCCAAAAAGATTCATATTATCTATATGTTAAAAAGGAAGAAGTGTGACGTATCTTCAAAGTGTGTCATTAGCTGCTGCCTTTTGGAAATTCAAACACTCGTGTGAAGCAGTCATACGTATAAATCTTCTGAAGTGCTAAAGCTCACTCTTTGTCTTACTTTGCTAAGGGAACAAAACAACACGGCTCCACATATTGTGTGAAGAACATTGGTTTCACATTTGAAATGTTATGATGTAAACTCGTTTCTAAGAAAAATGAGTTTACTGAAGATAAAATGTTGAACATTTTCAACTAATATTGATTAATCAGACTAAAGAGAGGCTCTTTGCACTGACTGCAAAATGACCAGTAACATTTCTAGTAACATCTTCCATGGGGTTTACAAGTGAAGACGACATAAAAGGAAGAGACCATGATGGCAGCTTGCAGAACTTTCACTTTTGGTGGGACAGTTGGAATCAGTTTTTGCCTCGTCTGCAGCTGATAGAGCCTCAGGAAGGTTCCACGGCATTCAAATCCCACTTCCCCTCCTTCAGTCTGAAAAGCTGAGTGATTAGAGTAATTGCAAAAATAAATCAATGTTTATATTTTTTTAATCAAAATTTCAAATAATGATATAAAAAACAAAAAAACAAATCTGTTTTATATTACCAAAACAATGGGAAGAAAATAATTATTTTTCTAGATTTATAAGTCAAGTACATTTGGAATTATGTCTTTTTTAAAACATCTGCTTGGTTAACATTACATTAAAAATAATATTAACTCTTTTTTTTTTTTTTTTTTTTTTACATTTAAAGTGTCTGTGCACTCATTTTACAGAGCAAAGCATAACTCCGGTCCTGACCTTACCGCCGTGTTCATTGAACGCTGCACACCAGACCCTTTGAACGGGTCATTACATTAAACTACATTTACCCGTCAACCCTGCGGTGAGCCCGGCGTGCCCCGCAGCCAGCCGACACGGAGGAGGAGGCCTGACGGCCTGCCGTATTAGTCGCTTAATTGCCACATCCTGGTCTCTGCTGGATTGTGAGCAGCACGTTTTACTTTAATTGTGAACCATCCGCAGCCTGCCACTTGTGCACGGCGGGAGCATCAAGTGCCGGGAGATGGTCCTCGTAACGCACTTGGTTGCTCAGACCGTCTTTTTGGTGGCGTGCTGCCATCTGTTGGCGTTCCTGAGAACTGCAGTTTGAGGAAACAATGGGGTTGACACAAAGCAGGGGGTCAAGACTGTGGGAGAGGGATCCGAGAATACAGGAACACCCAACCATTTCTGTTTATACAAATGCAGAAAGTTCAAGAAAATGCTTGTGAGCAAACTTCAGGTGTACGAGAGTGGATGTCTTGGGCTGCTCTGCTATTGATAAACACATCATTTACAGAAAGTTAATAAATGGGTGGGCTGCTAGTTGCCCCCTCGCCTAACCTCCCTTCCCCACACACCTCCACACAAATGTATTGAAAAAAATTTGCATTTTAATGGCTCAAGCTGCTCTATATGTCCCCGTGCATCAGAGTGAAAGCTCAGCTGAAATCATGGGTGACTGCTTCCGAATGATCCGCTGAGATAAACCAACTCCCACATAAACACAGGCACAAGAAAGTAAAAAAAAAAAAAAAAAAAAAAAAAACGTGACATGCTCATAAACTCTCTGCCTCTCACTGGATGCACCTCATTTACTGTGATGCAAATGAAACTACAGGACCAAAGTGAAAGACCAGTTTGTCAAGACAGAATAAGGTCAAACTTTGTGGATTTTATTTGATGAGAACTCTTGTTTGTCGTTATTATTTTTGTTTTCTTGCAGATTTATCTACTCGTGGTTCAATAGGTGACAGCAACAGTATCTTCAGTAAAATAGTTTAGGCGTCATCCAGTTATATGTTTTGATCCTCAATCATCTGATTCAAATCAGCTTCTGTTAGCAGCCTCAAATGATAAAAACAACCGGCCATTATATGCTGATTCACCTTTTAGGCGCTTTCTAAAAATGTTTTCGTCTGATTGTATAATTTAGTGTTGTTGAATTGGCTCTATATAAATAAAGTGAATTTAATTTAATTAAGCGTATGAAAAAAAAAAATTATTTTTAAAAATTGTGCAGTAGTTTGTGTTGGTCCGTAACATAAAACCCTGAACACAATGAAGTTTGAGTTTGTAACTGCATAAAATGAGAAAATAGATCCAAACTTTCAAACTTTCAATTGACATTTAAGCTTGAAACCCACTTTTAGTCACTGAATAATTGCAACGATTTGCTTTTTAAAGTGTCTGATTGTAAGAAAACGAACTTTACTAAATGTGCATAGTGCTGAAAGAGATGTGGAAACATGATCTGAACCTGTTACTCTGCTACCATCTAGTGTTTAAAAAGTGTCACTACAGTTCAGCCTACATTCTTCACACAGCCACACCGTGATATTCTTCTAGCAAAGACACAAAACAATACTGTTAGACTAAACCCAGTCTATTTGAGAATGCTCAATTCTCCCACTATTACAACGTTTTCTTTTCACTTGTAGAGTACTTGTAGACAAAATAAATTCACTCAGGGAGTCGATGACAGAGATTAAAACAATTTTTAATTTTATTATTATTCAGGGAATCATATATATACACTTAAGGTGATGTGGTTTCCTGGGTGTGGCTGCAGCGGCTGTGAGGCTGAAAGAAAACAGCTTTTACAGCGAAAAGCAAACACACAGATGAGATAAATATGTCCATCTTCAAATTCAACACCAGGAGATGCAAAACAGCTTCATCGCCACTCCTCAGTTTTAAATATATATATACATATATATATTTATTGTTATTTTACAGAATGCGCTATGCAAATCATTTTTGTAACATCACTGAATTATTATGTTTCTGTGTTTTAAAACGAGGGGGTTCACACAGCCAGGAGCTGTGACCAGTTGATGCTACTGAGTCTTTGAGGCAGATTTTAAGATGTAGCGTACAGCAAGAACACTGGCATTCATGAAGAATGAGAAACGTATCTGAGCCTGTATGTTGCTGGAAACCACACATCGGCTGGTGGAAGATCCTTCCATAAATACTTTGAAGAGAGATTGTATGAAGGTAAGGTGGAGTGCTACGTTAAGCCGAAACAATATTAAATAATAGTTCAATCTAGATTCAAGTCATACGAATGTTTTCATGTGTGATCTCTCAGGTTATAGTCAGTCGTGAGGCACTCATATTGGACAGGCAGTTTATTTACAAATAGCAGTCCCATACACACACAGAAAAAAGAAGAAGAAGAAGAAAGAAAAAGTCATGATAAAATTTACAAAAACTGTGGAATGTCGGGGGATTGTAAAAAAACAAAAACAAAAAAAAAAAACAAACAAACCCCAAAACAAAACTCTAACCATTTCCCTTCTCTTTAAATGTAACTCGCTGAGGCCATGGAAAAGTACTTAAAAACATACAATCACCAATGGTCATCGATGACTTACTTTATAAAAATATCACCATGGCGTTAAACAGGATCACAGATTCGACTGTGCAGGAAAGAGAGACTTATTTACATTAATACAAAGATAGCAGAAGGTGAAAGAAGATATTGATTTAAATAAAGTGTTGGCAAAAAACCATGAGCAGTGCAGAGAGGGTCCCAAAAGCCAAAGCTTCAGCAGCTCCTGCTTTAAATGGACACCTCTAAAAGTTTCTCATTTTGTCCTGTAAAAACCAGAGAGATGACCGATTAAAAATTTCATTAAAGTTACAGTTCAAGCTTAATGTGTTTAATTAAGATATTCTTAGCACAGTTTAAGTGTTCTGGTCACTTATTTTGGTTTATTTTATCCCAATCATGTCAACACAAAAACACAAAATCCCCAATAAACAATTCAGAAATGACTTGATTATAACCATTGATTGTAATGGACTCTTTGGAAGGGAGCAGATAAACCAAAAGTAGTAGCACACTTGACACTCTTCTCTTTCTGCACCTCCTCCCCCCCAATTACCTAGTTTCTGGGTTTTCACATTTAGGATGAATGTTGGTTTTTATTTCCAAAAGCTGAATTTTAAAGTGCAGAACAGCCATATTTAGCTTTCATTTTAGATATTGAACGAGACACGCTCCAATGTACTCGAGATTCCCTAAACAGAAACATTAAAGTAGCCTGTTTTAGTTGCTACAAATTGAAAACCAGAAATCGATATTTAGCTATCTATGTATGTGCAGTACTCACAACACATGCGACAGTCTCTCCCCTTTCATGGGACATGCAAGCTTTTAAAAAAACTCTGCTTGTTCTGGAAGCAATAAGCGCAATTTATGTATTTTATTTCTTCTATTTTTGGTGGTGAGTCACATTGGCCATTTCAAAAACTGCCTTTGAAGTTCCCCCAAACATTAAAGCATTTTCCGCTTTCACATTTACTGATTGATTAACATCAAAGAGAAAGAACAGGAAAGGAAACTATATTCAAGTAAAAAACTAAAATGGCAATTTATGCATAATTGGTATTTACTAGATAACAAGTGATGCTCCCTTCTCATTTTGTTAGAGGTCCTAATAAAAGTATTCTTAAATGTTTAATTTCAGTTCCTTACTGAACTAGACTGTTCATACCTGCTACAGGTTTGTTGTTTTATTTGTAAGCCAAACTCCTAGAAAGCTGTGTGGCTGTATTTGCAGAATTTACAACAACATTAGGAAATGAATATATTCACAGTTCTTATGAAAACCATCTACTGTGGTATTTTCATCAGTTGAATTAGCAATAAGTAATCAATAACAAGGTCAACATATGTGGAAATATCATTAGATAAAGCTAAAAACGTGTGGCAGCCGGATCACTGGACAGTGAACATGCTGTGGCTTCAGTTGATAGAGGGAAATCTCACCTTGTGGTTGTTGTGCAGTAAAGCCAAAGTGGAAATACTGACAGGGTTTAGTATCTACAACGGGTCTGCCAATGCTGCAGAAGCAGAGAAAAGAAGGATAATGGGGAAAGCTTTAAACTGCTAACACATATCAGCAATAGCTGCGTGCTGTTTAGCCTTGCATTAAAACAGAAGTCGTAAAAGTATACACACCACTTGAACCTTTAGGGATTAATAATGTTACAACCACAAACTGTATTGTAATGCATGTTAACACAAATTAGTGGATAATCGTGAAGTTAAAGGAAATAATTTGTGGTTTTTAATCTTTTGCACTAAGACAAACTAACGTGCATGTATATTTGTATTTGTAATAGTAAAAATGAAATAAAAATCTAAAAATATCATCTTCCGTCCACCTCACCATAATGCAATACTTTTGACTTGTCTTTTAATAAGCCAAATCCTGAAAGCTGGTTGCTTGGTAATTTTGGAGTAGGTGGGCTGGATGTAAGTGCAAACAAATTTGACAAACCATAAAAGATTTTGTGTAATCTAGTTTGTGTTGGTCTATCATGTAAAATAATATAACTATTAATGAAGGTCTGTCCTAATTCACTAATATGTATGTAAAATAGTTGAAAGGACTATGAATTCCTGCCCTTTAAGACTTCAAATTGATATATAAATGGCATTATAAATAAAATTAAGTATTATTATGTTATTATTATCACCTTTGCATGACAGTGTATATGTTGTGTATATTTGTGAAAAGATCACATAAGCAAGCAAAGGCAGACAGAGTATGGAAATGCAACTTAAATTTCCCATTCAGGGCTTTATTATAATTTGCCAATCTGGTTAAATAAAGTGTAATGACTTCAAAATAAATAACATTACAACACATCTGCCTATGTAATAGGGAACAGAAAGACAAATAAAATTGCCACTATACAGAAATGAAGTATGGGATATCCCAACGGGCAAGTTATATCACAATGCTCAGTATTTGCTCCCACTGATGATGCTGATGGTGATGGAGGATGAAGGTGCCCTCTGCTGGCGTGAAATGAGATGACGTTGGGGTGACAGTAGCGGGATGGAGGAGGATCAGGACAGCACACTGGTGTTCTGCGAATCAACGTCCTGCATGCTCACGACATCCGTACTTACTCCACTTTCATAAATGGGGTTGTCGAAAGCCGACTCTTCCGTCATGTTGTCATACGGTGGAGAGGATGTCGGCATTCTGACAGATTTCCCTTGAAGTCTGAGCAAAGAGTGGGGGAAAAAAAATAAAACTGGGAACATCCTGCAAAGCCTCCTTTGACTGCAAGTACAGGGTATGAAATTTAAAGATATTACTCACTTCGCAAAGTAGACATAAATCCCCAAAACAATCACCAAGACGATTGCAGTTGGAATAAAAACTGCAAGGGTAATATTGGTCCCCTCCATGCTGTAATCCATACTAACAACTAAAAAAAGAAAAAGAAAAACACTCAATATTTTGTGCAATTTTCACAACAAAGAAACATCAATATTAACTGGGTTTGAGATTCTTTGTAACATGGCTCACCATCAAGCCTTTGTTGATTCACATACTGCGCTGAAGATGCTGCAAAGACACAAAATCTTTGTCAAGAAGCTGTACAAAAGCACAGTGCACACCTACATACAACACTTAGGTGTAGAAATAGTACAAACAGGATCAGAATCAATGTGAGACTGTGATGCAATTCTAAATGTTTAGACAAAGTGTTAAAAAAAGGAGAATGTGGCAAAAAGTCGACTTTTTACCTCTGCAGACAGGAGGAGTGCTGTTCCACTGTGACGGGTGTCCGGGGACACAATAGATGGTGGCACCACCGCGCAGCTCGTAGCCTGCGGCGCAGGAGAACGTAAGAGTCTCACCCGCTTGATAAAAGACTTTTTCAGAGCTCTGGATGCTGGTGGAAGCTGCACCGGGGTTTCTGCAAGGCTCGTACTTCTCAGCTGGAGATCGGATGGGGAAAAAAAAAATAAAGCATTCACAACGTCAGTCTTTGAAAGATTGACAACGTGAAGTAATTGTGGGCTCTCGATTTCTGGAAACGTAACAAAAGCAGGTGCGAGCAACTTACGGACACACTTGGGCAGTCTGTCGCTCCACTTGGGTACTGCTGAGTCCCGGTTGTTGCAGCTGAGGAGACTGGAGCCAGACAGAACGTAGCCTTTGTTACAGATGAACTGCACGGTGGAGCCGACCTTGAAGCGGGGGCCTGTGATCACTTTCCGACTGTGCTCCACGCTTCCTGGATCGCGGCACATCAGGACTGATGTGCCACAACAAGGAGGGAACGATAACTTGTTTACAGCCTGTGGCTATAAGAGCTGACGAGGTTAGAACAGTCACAAATTCCCCAAAGCAATCACCATTTTTTAGATATACATTTTCAATGAGCTTCAATAAGAAATCGTAACTATCTTCTCATGGATAAAGACATGTAGTTGATTAATTTTACTGGTTTTGTGTTTTTCAAACCCAACCAAAAACTTGGAATTAGAGTTGAAAATACAGTCAAATTATAAGAAGGTATTAGGAGGTTTGGAATTAGGGATGTTTTTTTTTTTTTCTGAAGACTGAGAGTAATGCAAACAAAAACTTGACAATAGATTTTACAAAATCTGTAAAAGTTAGAAGAAGCTGAAATAAACAGAAGTTGGCTTAAGTAGGTGAAGGATATGACTACATTTTAAAGTTTGAATTGCATCTATATGTGAAAGTATGTGGAAATAGTCAGCTGTGAAAGAGCACAAAGTTTTTAACACAATTTTTTAGCAACTATAGGATGGTCCATTCATCGCAAGATGATCACAAAAAGCTGAACATTTCATAAACTGGCCTGAATTACCATAATATGGTAAAAATGCACAAAGTACGTAGAAGAAGGTAATAAGTGTATGGGGAGGAAAAAAAGTGGAGGAGCTCAAGAGTGTGAATGACTTTTGCACAATTTGCAGACATCCTTAGAGTAAATCAATTATGTACCATATGAATAACTACGAAGACATCCATTGGCTTCGCCTCACCTTCATCACACTTTGGCACATCACCACTCCAAGTCAGATCCCACTGGCACATGAGGATCTCGGAGCCTACCAACGCAAATCCCGGGTAGCACTGGTAGGTGACCACTGTGCCATGGATGAGATCGGGGTGGGATGTGCTCTTCCAGCCGTTGGGGATCTCCGGCAGTTCGGGACAAGTGTCATTCCTTGGCACCTCTGTTAACAATTGAGCAGACAAAATGAAGCATTTTTATAATAAAATACAAACCAGAATAGCATTATTCAGCCTTAAGGAGAGTGAAGCATTAATAAGCAACAGCCTCTGAAGGGAAGGAATATGACGGCGTAATTGTGTGTGTGTTTCCAACAGTGGTCTAAAAAGCCACTGTTGGAGAGGAAACTCTAAATAGAAGACTGTGATCTGCTGGAAGGAACGCGGCATGTAATCTGGCAGCCGTCAGTCTCTTCATAGATGGCCAGCAGCATAAAAACATTGGGTAAAGGCGGTTGATATTGATGTCTGCGCTATTATTGTGCTTCTTTGTTTGGGGTTGCTTAATTTTGTGCATCTGAGGTAAGCAAAACGACTGACAGCGGCACAGTGGGAGACGGGAGGATAGAGGCAACAGTTACATTCTGCCGCTCAGCCTCAAAAATATATTCCACACTTGGTGTGGGGGTTTGTCCAAGATGGTTTAATTTTAAGTTACTGGTTTTATTTAAACATTCTACAAGCAACACTTCCTATAGAAAAATATTTCAAAGTCTTGGAGTATACATACCCATTTACCTTTTTCATATTTCACATCCCACGTGGGGATGCAAGTTCACGTAGAAAGGTGGTCTGGTGTCATGAAACGTTTTGGTGTATATCCCAAACACTAAAGGTGTACATCACCTTAAGCACACCATTACTGTGTACAAACATGGTGGTGGCTACAACATGCTGTGGGGATATTGGGAACAGATAATGTTCATAGAGGCTATTTAAAAAAATTTTAAAAAAAGGGCAATGTTGAAAGTTGTTGGAGACACATCCCAAAAGACTTTCACCTTTGACTAAAATGAAAGTTGGCTGAACATTATCTTGACTCAAGGACATTAAATACAGATGTACACCTCACTTTCCAGGTTTTTAACCCACTTTATGTTAACATGAAGTTGTGATTATATGCACTCAAATAGATGGAAGGATCAGACAAAATATGGAAAAACGTCAAAGTGTATGTATGTGTTTTGGAAGGGAGTATGCACGGCTTACCAAAGAAGTGAACTACAAAGCCGTTGTTGTAGCCGTAGATGTTAGTGGCAGGATCCGACTGGAACTGAATAGTGACATCAGCCATGGATGTGTAGAGCTTGAAGTGCGGCCGTGCGCCGCTGTACTGGCCCAGGATGTTGCCCGTCAGGTCGTCACCGTCGTAGAATGTAAGTTGGTCGTTCTTACCCAGATTGAGACTGAAATAGAAAAAAAACAAAAAAAAGTCACACCCATAAATGAATTTACAACTCTGTGGTAGCGAAGGCGTGTTACGTTCATGACGTGTTTATTAGCCAATGAAAGGAGAAACTGGAGTTATAGGGTGATGTCAGGAATACTTTGAAATTTGTAATTCTGTTTGTATTGGAACAGAACGATGCAGAGTAAATACTAAATAATTTACAACCTGCTAGCCTCAATTGCTTCAATACATAATGATGTGGATTTACAGTATGGACAAATGACTACATTGGAGGAGTCCAAGGTGAGGAACAATTAAAGAAACAAATGAACATTCAATCTGAATGTGGGGAAATGTCAACAATGGATGAGAATCAACATTGGAAAGTTAAAATGGGAAAGAAAGACATGATGAAAACACACTGACCATCCCAATCCAAATATTGAATTCTTATCTTGATGATAAAGTATTCCTAACCTTTGGACATTTTTACTTTTTGTGAAGTTAAAGCCACAAATTTTAATTTATTTTATCTGGTTCTTATGTGGTGAAGTAGTTTATCACCATGGAAAGAAAAATGATGAACAGTTCAGAAAGGGGGCTTGAGCCCCCACCCTTTTAACCTTTTTTTTTCACATGTGACTCACCTAACAGCAGGCTACCGCTGAAGTACAAGAAAATATTGAGAAACTGTGTCTGCTTTGAATTTATTAACACAGACCAGAATTAAATCAATAAAGACTTGGCTTGTCTTCAAGAGTGACCACATGAGCATCTATTTATCAGACCTAGACGGCTTTGAGCAGAGAAAGTGAGATTTCTACCTTTTTAAAGATCTTTTAACTCTGACAAGTCACCCTTTCTTCAATACAAACATAAAATGTCAGTTTGTTTTTCAATGCACAAGGACTCGTGAAAGCGCTGCAATATTTTCCACGAAATATCAGTTGCATACATCTCACACACCAGACCTGACAGCTCCAGAGGCTTCTCTTTCCACAAAAGACTCACTGCCTGTGTACGCACTGAGGTTTGTTGGCGTCATCTGTTGTGAAGCAGCTCTGCACATTTGAACATCCAGTTCTTTTCATCATCGTCATCGCATGTGGAGTGTGCGTGTGCCAAGAGATCACATTTGCTCGTGCAACACGGGCGCCGTGGTAAAAAAGAAGCTGTGCCAAAACCTTTTTTTAATGAGGGACAACCAGTGGGAAAGCTCTAACATTCGGCTGGCTGACCACTTGAGTCATTTCGTCAGTCTTGTCAGTGGCAAACAAATTTGCAAGGAATTGCCTACAAAGCCAGCACACTGCTGCCAAAACCCATCTGAGTCACAAATGAAGTGCAGTGCTGTTAAATCTGAGACTTGCTGTGATTTAAGAATCAGTGGCACATAAACATGTAACGTAGTCCTAACAGAGCTATTGAGGATTGAGATAAGACCCGGGCGATCCTTGAAGAAAAACGTGAGCGGCAGCAAAAGATATGTGAGGCTAGCAGAGTCTTGCAGCTGCAATTTCAGTGAAAATATAGACCTTTGCAAGGCACTGCAGTAAGAGTACCTCCGGAAATCTCTAATCTGGACACGGCAAATCAAATCTTCCTTTCCACTTTTTTTCAACAGAATAAGGTGCAAATTTCAACGGCTTACTTTTTCCTCATGTGTATGTGTAACATCTGATTTCAGTCAGATATTCCTATTGGAATATCAGCCACAGGTGATTTTTTTTCCTTCTTTTTTCCTCTATCAGTGATGCTTTCATGGTCTGCAGGTTAACAGCCCTTCTTGATGGCCTTGTCCAATGTTGTCAGAATAAAACCTCGGGCAACGTCTGGGAGACACACAAGTTGGTTTTATTTCTTAGTGAATTATTTCACTTTCTTCTACCTGCTGATTATGTCATCAAGGCTTCCCAGTTCTCAGCAATTTATTGTTTCCCCTCCAAAAACAGGTCCCCTTGATTTCAGGCTACACTTGAGGGAAGGACATTTGTTTGCCAGTTGGCAGTCTCGCCGAGTGATTACCTTCAGTCATGGCATTTTATCTCTTTTAAAAGAAGTCCCTCCATTCACTGTGAATAATTTAGAATTTTGCCACCATTGGAGGTTTAAATGACTGATTCTATTAACTTAACAGACCACTGTGAGTGCATCCACAATCATGGTGTCAGAACAGAAGAATCCAAATGTGCAGTGCCTTTTCAGACCTCTGACAGGCGGCTCTTTTAAGACTACTTGAATACTGTTGGGACAGCCAGCGGCAAGAGCGATTTAATAATGAGAAACCCGTAGGAATAAAGTTAAACAAAATGACATGCACGCAAAATTAAAGTGCACTTTCTTGAAATGTAAAGAAAAAGATTTGATTAGAGTACTGCCACTGTGCCTTGGAAAAATACCTTGAACACATTGTGTCCTCTAACAACGATAGATTTTATTGTGTTTTATTGAGATTTTATGCTACATTAAATGGAATTGTGTCACGTTTTCAAAAAAGCATTTTTACATTTGAAAATTGTGGCATTCATTTTTATTCAGCCTCCATGAATCAGAACCTTGAGGAACCACATGTGGCTGAAATTACAGTCAAGGATGTCAAGAAAATTAGGTTCTATTCAGATGTAAGTCTGGACTTTTCATGTTTGAGAAGTCAGCATAGCAATTGAGGCAATGCCCTGATGGTGAACATCCCTCAACTATGAACACTGACCAAAAAGCAGCAAGCAATAAGTAACCAAGCACAAGGTGCTCACCATGACTGTCCTCACCGTCTCTCCCACTGCATGAAGCCAGGCAGCACAATGCTGTCATGTCTTCATTACAGCTGCCACTTTGAACGAAAACAATCAAAGAGCAATGCGTATGCTCTACGTGATCTTTCGTTCTTGTGTTTTATTTATGCGCTAATTAAATAAACATCAATCTATATAATTAAGTCAAATAATGATAATGTTCACCTGGACATTGTTCTAAACCTTACTAATATTAAATATTAGTTATTCTGTGTGTATTTAATATTCACAGCTCATATTTATTTACCCAAAGTTTAACTAGTGAACTAACTGCTGAAGATAATTAGTTCCACTGGATTTTATTTTTAAGTTTTACAGTAAAGAGAGTGGAAAACAAACTTTAAACTTAAAGGTCCTCTTCCACTTCATAATTATGCACTTAATGTTGGTCCAATGCACAAAATCCAAAGTTTCTGGTTGCAAGGTGACAAAACATATTAATGAGCAGTCATGAAAGGCACTGTATCTGATGAAATATTTCAGTTTGATAACACGGTCGTGACCTTTTCAAACTTTTGGAGTGCCGTTTTAAAAAAGAGCTTGGAGAAGCTCTCTGCATACCAATCACACTGACTCAGCTCAGCAGACAGGATGAGGAGAGAACAGTTGTTTTTCACAGGCCTCGAGGCATTTGTCTCCTTCACCAACCTGACAACTTTAGAAAAGCCACAGCTAATCTCCAGCAACTCGGACAGAATAGGAATCGCTTTCATCGTCATGCTTTTAGGAGAAAGCTTCTAAATCTTCCTAACATGGAGATTATGCATTTAGATTTATGTTTTTTTGTAGCTTCACAAAGACATCCTATGTATGCCCTGACTTATGTGATAGCATGTAATTCTCAGAAACTCCACAAGAGGATGCAACCCACCCAAACTAAAATGCCCCTGTTCAGTAAACATACATAAACACTACTTAAAGTGGTGTACGCAGTGCAATCGAAATGTTAATCTATATTTGAAGCATTTACTGAGGTGTATCCTACAGGCGGGAATATCAGCTGTAACCTCTTGTTTCTGGCTCCTGGTCGAGTCATGCTCCGCACTAATTAGCAAAGAGCCAGCCCTCCTGTTTGGCCTAAATTAATTAATCAGTCCTCATTATGCACACTGCTCCACTGTAATTGCCAGCACAGGCACAGTGATGAATGATAACACAGAAAACATTCTCATTAATGTGGAAAAGTGTGTTCCCACCCTTATAATGAGACAGCTCTTATCCACAAGAGCCTTTTGCGCACAAACACACATTGACACAAATTGCGTGTTGACCAAGCCTATAGGAATGCTGTTTCTCAAGCTAAACGGAACGGACACAGAGGTAACGGTGGGGTCTGCGGGGATCAGAGGAGCTGCCACGACAGCCACGCGTGACCGACTTTGAGATAAACTAAAGCTGGACGCGGCGCTATTAATTTACAGTGAGCTGCCTCTTGTGGCCCAGTTTAAAACAAGCGTCCAACAGGTAGAAGTTAAAGAAAAACCCCTGAATTAAAATCAGATTACCTTAAAACAAACTTGTTTACAAATGCTTTGTTCTCTGAGCTTTGTTAACCAAGGTACCCTGGTGGACTTTCAACATCATCTTGACCTAAAGAACAGAGAGGGATGCCTGGTCACACAAAGCCCTGTGTGACATTCAGACACAGTGTAATATTTCTTAGTATGCCTCACGATATTCTTCTGTGGAAAAATCTATGTGATGGCTCATATCTTAGTGCTTGTAAGCCTGAAAGATAGCTCAGGAAAATCACATCCTTCACAAATGTCACTGAGAGGTGTGTAGGTGCATCTGCTTGTTTTGTGTTAATTCAACCAGTAAAGAAAATCAACCACATAGGTATAATTCTTCCCTGTCTTTTGACCTTTATCTTTCAAAATTACGCTGTTTTCCTTACGGTATGATTTTACAATTTCCATTAACAGGGCTGTTCGGCAAAACTGAAATTTTGTTGCTGCTTTCATCAGCAACAATTTTGGTAACAAAATTAGATTTTTTTTGTAAATAAAGCAATGATTGAAATAAATGGAAAGAATGGAAAATATGAAATACTTAGCCCGACACTGCTTTAGCCTTGCTTGGGTTCTTTGCACAATATTTAACTCTCACCAATCCAAAAATATTTTGGGTTACACACAATCTTATTTTGCAAAACAAATGTTTTCATCTGATTGACATATTTGAATTTCATCAGAAGAAATATCTAATTTGATAACCAACAAAAAAAAAAAAAACCCTCTTCTGTTACAGGACAAGGGTAGGGAAGAGGTGAGCTTCCGGACAACAGTTTTCACTAGATGTCAATACTGAGATGAGGGGACCCACTGAGCATTTAGGAGTTGAAATATATTTGAGTAATGTCAAACTGTTCATAGCCATCTAGGCTAAAAAGGCATATGTTTTGGAAAGTCCATCTTTTGCCCTTGCCTTTTCTTGTAGGGTGGCTCTTCAGCTGTCATTAGGGAAGAGGCTGGGTACAGCCTGAGCAGGTTGCCAACCTGTCACATAGCAACACAGAAACACACAAACCAACCATGCACACACAGACATGCATCTGAGGCCACATTAGAAAGACCAATTAATCCAACAGTCATGTTTTTGAACTGTGGGAGGAAGTTGGAGTACCTGGAGGGAACCCACACATGGTCAAGGGAACTCCATGCAGAGAGACCCCAGGCCTTCTTACTGCAACTTAATAATGCTGCCGACTGCTCCACCATCCAGACCGTATTTTGGGACCTAATTTTAAAAATGGTCATTGATTAAACGTTTTTTTTTATCTAAATACAGACTTACTTCAGCTGAGACTGACAAGGATAAAACAAGAAGAATAAATATCTGAATTTGAGTTTAGAATTTTTAACATAATCTTGAGTAGATTATCCAAATAAATATACATTTTAAGTCACCGGCACCCCAGTCCTTAAGAGCACCCTCCTTAAAACACAGCTGGATTAAATGAATGGCTCTTTAGCAGGCCTCTGCAGAGCTGAGTTACTGCCAGTAACTCAGGTATGTTGGAATAGGGATGCAAAGTTGCAGGTTGATCATGGATTTATTTACATTGGTAAATTGGTATTAAAAAATATATATACAAATTTGAATCTTTACTTTCAAATATTCTGCCAGTGCTGCTTCACTGCTGTGGTACATAAGAGCAACTTGAGCACAGTTGCCACTGTATGCAGGTGTAGTTCTGTTTGGAAATATAATGAATGATCAACAGCAGACGTTTTGTTTTCCTTCCATGCAAACAAAATGGACGTTATATCTTTAGATGTCAGGAAAGCATCTGGAAGTCGTTGCACATTCAGTGTTATTGCTTGAATGCTTCATGACACATTAAATTAAAATGTGTGTCATCTGCCATCCTCTACAATACAGCTCAAATATGTTACAAATGAAAAAAAAGTGGAAATTAATTCATACTTCATCAAATGAAGCTGGCTATTTCTGATGTAATCTTTCTAGCATGTCTGCATGATTTACTGATTTTTTTTTGTAAACCTTATAACTTTCCAAATCAGGTCTAAGTGTAGCTCTAGCAATGTTAGCAGGTATTTTGCTCAGTCGGTAGGCCATAAAAATACAGAAACAATAAGACAATGCCCGATAGTGGTGGGGCGTGATGCTGTTTTGCCCAAGAACAAACATTTATGTGCTTTTCTTCTTCTAAACTCGCCATCCGCAAATGTTGACGTTGTCGCCACCTACTTGATATGTTCAACATTTCTGACTGAAATTTCAAATGCCGTTCAAGTAGAAATAATGAACAAGCGGATGAAAGATACTGGTTTAGTAACAAATACTAGACTGTCAGTGGTCTGTTGCAATAGAAGACATTTCCCTGTGTCCTCAAGAAAAAGAGTTTGGATATGGAAAAGATAGGATTTGAAGGAATCAACTGCAAGTCTGTGTAAACGAGGAATGCAACTAATATACCAGCTACAGTCTGAGTCTTCCCACAGTCTTTGTTTGGTGGGACTTCCAGGCTAATTCCTGCCAGCTTAATTTTAACCTTTCGCTGTGCCTCTGCAACTGCTTTGAGCAATAAAACAAATCACTTTTGCTGTATTGTTTTGTGTCAAGACGAATGCACATGCTGAAATGGTTGAATCCCTCATCCGAAACAAGCGGATGAATCTATACAGGATAATGAGGCAAGATTTGAATTTCTATACTAACACTTGAATTATCTTTTGGTTTTAGAGAAATGCTCAGCGCACCGTAAAAAGAAATCAAGGTTATGGGTTATTTTTCACTTAATTTAAGACCAATAAGAGGTGCAGAGACCGGAGAAACAGATGTCTGTGCGTTTGTGCATGTGTGACTATGTGAGACGGAGCTCGTGAAGGTGAAGAGTGAAGGTGACACACAGTGAGCATGTGTCCATTATGACATCTGTACGTGTATGCTGGATTCCATTTGGGTGGACTGGATAAGTGGCTCAGAGTAGTTCACTTGCCAGAGCATATTCATTTCAAAGCCAACTCCGAGGCAAACACCAGGGAAGTGGGAGCAGGGAGGCTTACTGGCTAATCTGGTCAGAGAGCGAGCTGGAAGCAGGACAGAATCCTTAATGTTGGCGGATGTAAAAATGTAAAAAAAAAAAAAAAAAATCTAATTAATGAGTGCTGCCACAGAAAGATTTCTCTTTGTGCACAAGCCTGCTGCGATAAGAAAACAGATGAGCAAGTAAGAGAAAAAGTGTGTGTTTGAAGCAAGAGATGGAGTGTTAAACACTAGCAGCTCAATCTGACCTCCTCCCTGACTCCCCTTGTGTGAGCTCCAGTCTGAGACCTCTGCATGGGCTCTTACACTTGGATGTCAAGCATGATCCTTTTGTCCTCTTCCACATGGATGCCCCAAATGCAGTCCTGCCCCTTGTCGTAGGCCTCGGGCCAATTAGGAGACAACACCACGCCAGCAGAGTCTGTGATCTCTCCGCTGCACACAGCTGTAACACACAGAGACAGCAAAGTCAACACAAGGAAACAAACTGCAGCCAATTTACAGACAGAGGAGTAAAATGCAAACGCTGGTGCAGGAATCTGTTTTTTTTTTTCTTTATTTAATTCAATGAACCCTGACTTTAAAGGACGAGTGCAATGGAACGTGCACGCTGCTCGGCAGGATTGTTGTAAAACCATGTTCCAACAATGAACTACTTGGCGACCGTGACCCAAAAGAGCAAAGAATTAAATTTTCCCATATCTGGCTTTACAAGAACGCTTTTCAATTTTACTCTGTGATACAGTGACCAGGCAGGCATTAAAGCAGCCAAAGTAAGGTCAGCAAATTGTGTGTGTGTATGACCATGTGACCTTGTATTTGATACATTGTAAGTGTTTCTGGGCTATGGGTTAGGTTTAGGACTAAGGCGTGATTTGAGTTCAGATTAGGTTTAGGGTCAGGATCGGGGTCAGGCAACAAAAAGTAACGAAAAACTTAATAAAAGTCCTTGTGAAGACAGAAAGATGTACTATATGTGTATATAAGATGAGTGTGAACAGAGAGCAATAGGTTTAGCAGGCTGTTATTAATTTACATAGTCTGCTCTCTGTGGAGAGTTCAATTCAGGCCAGCTATTGTGTGCCTTTAATCTTGAGCACTTGAAAAATCTGCCCTGCAAGCACACATATCAAAGTAAATCATCCCTATAATCTTAAGAGGGAATTTATCATGGATCAGAACAAACCAGCACAGGAAGACACAGTTAAATGCTTTTTGGATTTAATGTTTGAACAAAAGACATCACCACCTGCTGAAATGATCAAGCAAGCACCATGAAATCCTCAGATTGTTAGGCCAGGCATATTTGACTAGGATTTTTTGACTTATTTTGAAGACTTGATGCATTATAAGAATGATAATAACGAGACTGTCATGGTATAATGACTTTGTATTACAAAATACCACAATGGATATAAAATTTACATAAAAATATTTCATTAACATTTTAAACCCTTTTATGATCACTGCCTTCATTTAAAAGAAAATCTATTCCTTCTAACATTTCCCACAGCTGTTTGAATAATCAAACATCTTAATCACTACATTTGAAATAATTTCAAAATTTATTGGCATTCAGGCAAACTTTAACATCATTTTTCACAAATCTGCTTCAGGGGCTGAATATTTTTGCTTCTGATATTCTGTTGTTTTCATAAAAAGTAAAAATGTTATTAGTTGGTCAATCAGGCATCATCCTATGTAACCAGGTTGCAGTCAGTGTCCTAACAGACATTCTGCCTAGAGCTTACCAGCTGTAATTTAAAAATAATCTTCATTAGTTTCCAAGTCATAACTGTGGGGTTTTTTTTATCAGCCAGAAACATTTCTGAACAGCCAAATCTGACAGTTTTATTATCCAAAAGAAAAAAGAACTGGCACAAGTTTAAGCTGGCATGCAGTGGAACAACAGGTGGGGGAAGGACATTACTGTGTTAGTATGTGCTTCAGATAAACCATAAAAATGCTGGTTACTCTGTCAGTTTGTCTGGGGTCTCATTAGAAGGACTCTAAACTATCGGAAAGACTAGATAAAAAATAAAAAAATCTGTCAGCAAACAATGTAATGCCTTTTTTCGAACATAGTACTGCTTTTCTTGGCAAGTGTTTTTTTTTTTATTTTTGTTTTTCACCTTTTTAGCAATTATTGCTACTACCACAAAAAACTCTAGAACATCTATACTCTTCTGTAAGTGTGTTATGTTCAGAACAGTTTTCTTTGGTTCCTTAAAGTGCATTTATTTTATGGCAACTTTGTTTGCCATAAATGGACAATTAGCTGTTGTGACAAATTAAATCATGGACTAAAATGGGATTCAGACTAAATCTGTTCACTTACCCCTGCAGGCGGGTTCCGTCTCATTCCACTGTGGGTTTTGAGAATCCACGCACTCAATCACTACGGAACCTTGCTCCAGCGTGTAGCCAGGATTACATGAGAATTCAACTACCGCCCCCATGCTGTAGGTGGAGTCACTGCTGCTGAAGTTGCCATACTTTACAAAAGGCTCATAGCACATCCCCTTTGCAAAGGCTGCATTAACAAAGTAAATAGTTAGGGACCTGTGATATTGCGTGTACAAAATGGATCACTCCGCAGTGCGCGTGAGCTGCTTGCCTTCGTATCTGATGGCTGCTCCAGTGGATGTCATCGTCCCATCTGTGGTGAACTCCACAAACAAGTAACGGCCGGTGCTGAGCACGCCCTCGTTTGGCAAGTATTCCACTTCGTAGGAGTCATACACAGGTGGAGAGTCAATGTTGTTCCCATTTTTTATCAACAGCCTGTTCAGAAACACACCAGCAAAAAGAGTCCCGTGAATTAGGCTGGAAAGTAAAATCAGAAAAAATGAACTTTCAACGAGACACTTCTAGTTGCAGTTGCAACAACTTTGTGTTAATGTCCCACATCGGTCTTGTAATAAGGCGAATGACCATGCATGACAGCAGCCACGTCGATCAGTAGATTCAAATGAAAATGTAATAAATCTGCTGTCCCCTATTTCATGCTACATCAGCCTCCTCAATTCACTGGACCTAAAGAATGCTCTTAAAGGATTGTAGTGACAATACATGCGTTCAAATTCATCCATTACTCTAAAGACTTTGGTCATTAATGACCCTTGAGAACGTAATGCTCTGTTCATTCAGATGGTGAGTTTAGGGCTTGATGGTATCAGCTATTAGCTAAAGAGAAACACAACAACACGTCCAATGTGTTGACTTGTCCTGCAATTTCTTCAGATCTTAATCCCAATGAGTGTTGTAAAGTCTAAAGTTTACAGCTGGTAAGATCTAATGGATCCGTTAGTAAAGGTCTGAGTAAGATAGTAAACTCCTTTTGGACTAGTTGAGTCTCTTTCTCTCCTAACAGGCGTTTATGAGGCTTTTTGTTTGCTTTTCTCTTTCAGAATTATGTCAGACATAGCCAACCTGTCATCATCTTCTGCCAGAGCAACCTTCTCGAAGTGAATGTGAAGCCGGTGGCCTTCGGGGGCTTCCAGTACCCAGTGGCAGGTCAGATTGTTGCTGTAGTTGCCAGGGAAACCAGGAGAGACGATACGACCATAGGTGGCATTCTTTATCATCCCCCCACAGGATGCTATATGAGAAGAAACCGAGCAAGAGAAGGGAGCAAGAGGATAAAGAGTTAGAGGGTAAAAGCTAGATGAGAAATGTAATGAAACTATGGAAGGGGGATTTCAGAGAAAAGTCACTGTCTGTGCACAGATTGCATCAATATCCAATGGACTGTGGCTGTGCAACACCAGGCAGCTCTAAGAGTGTCTTAACGCGGCAAAATGGCAGCGGTAATGCTATCAGCCGAGAGCAGCTGCAGGCAGGCGATGTGAAGGGCCGGAACAGGAAGATGAGCCTTTACAAGCAGGAGACTGACAGCCACATGTGCTAATCAAGGCAGCCAGGTCCGACGGCTTTGTTTTGCCCAGTCTCTACAGAATAGCTCCCTGTGCACAGTTGGTCTCTCAAATCAACTCAGTGGGAGACACTCTGGTGAAAAGCGTTCATTAATCAAAATTACCAGTTTTCTTCAGGAAGGCTGAAGAAGAAAAAAAAAAAAGGCTTGCTTTGTGTTCGAAGGCTCACGTTTGTTCTCGATTTTAGTTGTTAAAAATGTTATGGAATTTCATTCCTAGGGAGATGTTTTCTTTGATTATTGGATAATGAAAAAAATTATGTAGGTTTGTTCAATACAGGAGCGGATAATCCTGGTCCTTGATGGCCGGTGACCCGCAACTCTTAGATGTTGAAGGATAGCAGCTTGAATCCAGCAGCTGAATCACCTCCTAAGAACAGTCAAGTTCTCCAGAGTCCTGCTAATGACCTCATTATTTGACTCAGGTGTGTTGAAGTAGAGATAAAAGTTGCAGGAGACCAGCTCTCGAGGCCTGGAGTTGCCCACCCCTGGTTTAATGTACCACGAGAGTCAAATAAACCAAACCAAATCACACATAGGTGTGGCTGTGGTACCTACTTCTGGGTCTATATTGCTACGACATTTCCAACTGCAGAGATTTATTTGAATAAACTTAGCAAAGAATTAGTTGCCTTACCTATGCATTGAGGTTCTTTTCCACTCCAGTAGGGGGTAGTTGCATTGCGACATGTGAGCATTTTGGGACCTTGCAACTTGTATCCAGTAAAACAACTGAAGTAGGCCTCCCCACCAGCATGGAGATTGGTCACTGAAACTTCTCCACCCGCAGGTTCTTTGGGGAATGTACAGCTGAGCACAAAAGCTGGAGAGAAGAGAAAGTCACAGAAAGAAAACAGAGGCATCTTTAATCAACTAAGACAGACAGACAGACAGACAGACAGATAGATAGATAGATCACTGTTTGTTACTGTTAAATATTTGGATATAGAATGGGAGTGGACTTTTGTTGCCCATTATTTCTTCAAGCAAATCAAACACTACATTTCAGCCAACTGTCTCAGTCCTTGTCAAACGTTCACACAAATAGAATTGGTGTGAAACTGAGCATTAGCTCCCTTTCTAGTCTCCATCTGCTATTTGTAATTTACAAACAAATAAAATATGCAAATGTACAGAGGGACATTTGGAGCTCTGGTGAATAATAGCATCGCGTGATTCATGTTATTGCAAGTATGTTGACAAATGGAAGTTTTGCTGATAAACTGAACATCGCAGTGGGTCTATAAAATGATAGTGGGAGGAAGAATAGCCTATATTGCATCTGTCCAAGAAGGACAATTGCTGGTGGGGTAAGATCAATGTTGCTGGAGTTCCTTTGCATTGTTGTCCTGTCCCTGTTTTTAAATAAATGGTGTAGAATGGGATGAAGTTAGCATAGATAATGAAGTAAGCAAAGCAAGTCTTTAATGGAAGCTATTAAACAACCTTCTCCTCCTGTCTAATAACCGCACTGTTCTACCTCATTAGTGAAGGGACTTTAATGACCACACTAAAACTTTTAAACTTCTTGAAATGTGTGAATAACAGAAATAGCACCATAATTGGATTCAGTGTGGTTGGCGCTGCAACAACAAAGGCATTATGAAAGCCGTATGAAACAGAAAACAGAGAGAACTTGACCAGTCTAATTTGAGCACACGTCTGAAGAAACGACTGACCAAGGAGTAATTAGCGACAATGATTGAAGCACACCTCAGCAGACAGCAGCTAAGATGGGCATAAGTTCAAATCATATGTATTTTGTGTTTGTAAATCTGAATATGGAGTTGTGAAGAAAAAATGTCAACCAGTAAAGCAACCACTTCTTTGTGCATCCGATTTATGTGGGTGTATTAAACACCCAATTGAAATACATTCCAGCAGAAAGTCTGGAAGATGAACCAGTTACACTTTAATCGATTTAAACTAACCTTCTCCCTGATTCTTAAGTCTATGAAGAAGTTCCCCAGTCTCAACATAAAAAAATGCAGAGTGAGTAAAGTTAATGGCGAACAGAAAAATCCTCAGAAAGAACGACAGCTGAGAGGGAATATATATATATATATATATTTTTTTGCAATTTTACTTATTCACAGGTAAATTTTTTAGTTTCCTTTTAAAGCCGTCTTTTATAAAGGTATTTCCGTCAGAGCTCCAATGCCAAACAAGGCAGGGAATGCTACTGGGTTTTATGTAACTGTACAATTCGATATTCTCAGGTGAAAATGTGTTGCACAAAGAGACGTGGGGCAAGTGAAGGTTAAACTGCACAAAAATTAAACCAGCTCTGTAGGTTGGCTTTGAAGTGTTTTCACTTCAACCAGCCATTTGTAGAATAAAAGAGATGTGATAGGTTTTATGCTGTTACCTTGAAACTAAATTGTCTATTCGAAATGTCATTCTATTAGTCTTTGAAGTAAAACATAAGGAAAAACAGCCCTAAATGCTTAATGGCCATAAAGGTTTCTCAAACCACTGAGTTGTCTGTTTTTTTTTTTTTTTCTTGAGCAAACCACTAGTTTCTTATGAAACAGGCCCTTGCTTTGCAGTAAATCAGTGAGCCACGGGGACAAAGCACTCTGCCCTTGGGTCATCCATTCCATTCATAGTTTATCACTAGCTCCAATGAACCTAGTTATTGCCATTATCATAGCAGCATTTAAATCCCTATTGAGCATACAACGGGGGAGCCAGAGGCAAAAATCGTGGAGCCAATTCCTGAAGTATTAAATTACGTGCTGCTTCCATTCCAGTAGATGTGGTGCTGGGCCATAAAGCCTGATTGTTTTGCCATTAGAAATAATAGATCCACGGTGCAGGCAGCCAGGAAGATTAGCTGCTGGTGCTGTAGAGCCACAGGAAACAGATGTGGAGCTGATGTCTGTTTTTCTGTTGTTTTCTTGTACAAATGTCAAGGAGAAAACATGCACATGTACAATAATGTCTGGCTCAACAAGTATGAACCAGATTTTTCGACCCTATTTTGCATCATGTAAAGAGCAAATATTAAAATCAGTGTTATTTGTGCTTGGACATTGCACATTTTGTGCCATTCGCATCATATAATGCTAATAATATTGACAAATATGACTGCTGAAGTATTCAAATATTATCTGACTGATCACTGTTAATAGTTGCATATCCAGTTGTAAACATTATGCCAAGGCACCAAAAGACTACCACCACCAGTCTTTTGGTGGTGGTAGCATAGACAAAAAAAGAAAAAAATTGTAACATTGCTGATAAAATGCTGCACTCGTGCTCTCATTTTCTGTAACCTACCTAATCCTGTTCAGGGTCACTGCAGGACCGCAGTTTGTACCAGCAGTTATAAAGTAGCAGATATATATCCTGGGCAGGTCAGACGTCCATCATTATGACACACAAATATCCAAGCAAGCTCTCAAGGGATTATATTTTTTATTTCACGTATTCTTAAAACATCCAAACTAAAAACAACCCAATCTGGATTATTGTGTTTCCATCCATTTGTATTCATCAGCCTATCATTCTATAGCCTCTTTATTTTTGAAAAGGTCGTAGGAGGGCTGGAGTCTATCTCCTGCTGTCAATAGGCTAGAGGCGAGGTTCATCTGCTGAGAGGTCACCAGTCCATCACAAAGACAAACAAGAAATAACTATGTGTCCACACTCTCACGTCAAAGGGTAATTTAGAATGGCCAACTAACCTGTTGTGCATGTTTTCACGTAGCTGAGGAAGCAGGAGCGACGATGCAAACCTCTCACATTAACTCATGACCTTTATACTGTGAGGTCAGATTGCAACTGCGTGCCCATTCAACTCTGAGTGATAGTTTTGTTTTTAGTTATACTCTGCCATAAAAAAGGTCAAATAGGAAAAAAAAATAGAAAATTTACTATGGAAATTACTATTCTTTACTTATAGTGGGTTGAAACGACCCAATTTTTTTCCACAGTCGCATAAACCTAGTCTGACCATTGCCTTCCCAAGAACTTCCACTTGATTCTAACGCTCTTCCATTCTCCATCTGGGTTTTCTCCTATTGAGATTAATTTCTCTGGAAGAAATTCAACCGGCCAATCACTGTTGATTTTTTTTTATGCTGTTTTAAAACTGTTGTCTTCCTATAGTTTGGCAAAAGCAGTGGAGGAAGTGAAGGAAGCTGTTCAATCCACGTTGACCACGCTTCCAAATATCAAAATATTTAGCGATTGGATGCAACTGAAAACTTCAACTGAGTCCACACCTTCAGTAAGCAATCGTACAAATCTCTACAAAGCAAATGGGCTGTTTCTTATCAAGCTAGTATAAAACTAGAATTTGTGTAAAATAAGTAAATTCCCCAGGCAGTAATATAGTGCTTATTTTTTCACTGTCAGGAAACTGTTTGTATCTGGAGTACTATTGTTGAAGACCCTCAGTGGTTCTGAGGAGATTGTTCCAGCCAGCGCCACAGTCACAGGCTCTCCTTTTAATAAAAAAATAGATGTTTTAAGCATTCTTGAATATTGACTTTCTGAATAATTCTTACGTTTCATACATGTATTGACAATGGATTATCACTTAGAAAAATTGGCTGCAGCACTGCTAACAAATACAAAAACCATGAATGAGTATTTTGTATGCAATTGCTATTTTCACCAGCTCCAGATAATCAAAATGAGGGAAATCATTCAAAGGCAACAACCACTTCTCAAAAAAAAAAAAAAAGAAAGTTTGCCATTCACTCACATATTCATCAAATTAGTTTTTTTTTTTTTTCCTGCTGCGTGCACATTTCATTTGCCTAAGTACTTAAAATTGAGAATGCTCCTCTTCAACCAGTAATGGACAAATGCTGTGCAGTACGGTAGAATTGTTGAGATGAGAAAACTGGTAATAGTGACTTACCCAATAAATTTGGACACACAAATAAAAATGCATTCCGCTTTAGGTCCACTGACTGCTATATTGTTGCATGATTGTGTCTTTGAGTGGGCGTGTGTGCCTGTATGTTTATTTCCTAAATGAATCCAATCATGTAAGGAGCTGGAATTGGATCAAATTGGCCAAGGTGAGAGCAGGAGATAATGAAACGGGGGTGACGGAAAACAAAACAAACCACGAACCTTGTGTAGATTGGCATTATTATTTAATGGAGGTTTATTTGGGGAGTATCATTCATTTTCTGTTACATTGACATTTGAAGAAAAATGCTTTGTCAGGGGAAACGTGTGCTGTTCCAATGACTAGTCATTTCTTGTCAGCGAGTGTTGTGATGAGCAGATTTAGCAGCAATCCTTTGTAAGCGACATGTGGGAGGGGGTGACTGTCATTGCATCCATGCCTCGTGTCCATGGCTGTGCATCAAGGCATTGCCTTTTACAGAAAGATCGATGGTGTTGTCTCTGGGAAAGTGATTCAGTTGTAAAAAGTAAAACCATTGCTTTGCCCTGATATGGCCTATTGATATTTACGTGGTTGGGCAAAATCCTCAATTTTAATGGACATTTACTCAATAAAGGCTATTAAAGAGAGCTAACTTTAAACTAACGGAGGAATTAAGTCAATGCTCCTCAGACGCCTTGATAAATTGTGAGTCACATACCATCAGTAGAAGACATGCATGTGGGCACCGTAGTTGTCACTACACCATATTAGTTAAATTCAGTCAGAAATGCTTGCACAATATCACAACACTTGCAAAGATAAAACTACACCTATTAAATCAAAACATTATCAAAATAAATGGGGAATTAGTTCTGCAAATTGTTACAAATGTATGCGTTTTTAAATGTTCGCCTCAAAACAAAACATGCAGGGTGTGACTGGCAGGTGTGTCCTCAAAGCTGGGGATCGAC